TAATAATATACCTTCCTCATGGAGGTGTCATGAAAATGAAATGAGCTACTAAGTACAAATCACTGAGAACAGTACCTGGAAAACAGAAAGAACTAAAAAAAATTAGCTATTATAATTTATATTATTATTATCTGATTATTAATATCTAATTTTTTTTTTTTTTTGAGACAGGGTCTGACGCTGTCATCCAAGCCACAGTGCAGTGGCGCAATCATGGCTTATTGCAGGATTGACCTCCAGGGCTCAAGAAATCCTCCTACTTCAGCCTTCTGATTAGCTGGAGCTACAGGCATATGCCAGCACACCTGTTAATTTTTTAATTTTTTACATAGATGGCATCTCATTATGTTGCCCAGGGTGGACCTGAACTCCTGGGCTCAAGTGATCCTCCTGCTTTGGCTCCCAAAGTGCTGGTATTACAAGTGTGAGCTACTTTGGCCAGAGAAATGCTAAGTATAGAAAAATCCCCTCTCTTCCCAAAGAGAAGTCAATATACTCTCTCTAGCACAAAAACACAACTAAGAAATCAGAATTTCACTCTCCAATATCAGCTTAACCTTCTTGGGTATGTGTTTCCTTATCTATAAAAATAAGATTATTAGACTTATTATTCCTTCTAGCTGCAACAGGCCAGGATTCTAGGAAAAATACATAGTTGCCATTAAAACCAGCAGCTCTTGCCCAGTCCTGGTTCCAACCTGGTTGCTTTTAAGGTTCTACCTTGCAGACATCTTACCCAGATTTAAAGCTGCCATTGCAGGACTTCAGGTTAAGAGCTGGTTGTTGCCCAGCAAGATGGGTATGGAAATGGCCTTGTGCCACCTAACCCCAGAGTTCTGAAGCACACAGAGTGAAATAAACTAGCAACGGCAATAACATCAACAGGCTGCAACTTGCCTGCTCCAGAGGACCCATCTGCACCTCTAATGCCAACTGCCTTGGTTTCTGGCACAAAAGCTTGAGCATCATTCCCATATTCCCTACTGTGGTACCGTGGTCTCCAGTAACCAGAAAGTCCCATCCTATATATTGATTATTTTGCTTATCTGAGTCTTGCCAGCTCTTTCTAAGGGCTGAACTCTTCTTTGAGTTTTTCTCATTTGTACAAAACACCAGGTTGCAGTTTCAATGTGGATACCCATCTGTGCTCAACTTTGTTGACATGTCTTAAATCCAGACCTTATCTGTTGAGTCTAGTACTGCCCCAGCAGAGAAAGGGCTGCTGCTTCTGCCCTGAGTGTGTACTGTACATACCTCTGTGTAACCCAGCTCAGTCTTTTAGATTTCTAGAATGTCACATGGCTGTGTCCATCTGCATTTTAATTGTGCCTTCATCCACCCATCCAGCCATCTGGCCAGTCATCCAGTATTTATTAACTTCTTCCTACATCTAGGCACTATACTAAATTCTGTTGGCACAATATTGAACAAAAACAGACATTCCCTCATTCATTCATTCAACACATATTTTAGTAGAGGAAAAAGGCAAACAAATAAATGAACAAGATCAAAGAGTGGAAAGTGCTCTGAAGAAAATTAAACAAAGTAAGGTTACAGAGTAATGGTGATGTGAAGAAAGGGGGGTCAGGTTGGGCCTCTCCTCAGAGGGGATACCTGAACTGAGACCTGAAGGACAAGAAGCAGCTGGCCATGCAAAGACCTGGTGCAGAGTATTCTCCCAGTAGCAGAGAAAACAGCCAGGCCACAGATCCTACAGCCAGAACCAGCTCATGATAAGGACAGGGCGATAGGGCCAGTGTGCCTGGAGCCGAGTGACAGTGAGAGAGCCAGAGATGAGGTCAGAAAGGGAGGCAGGGCCAAGATGTTCCTCGGCCTTATTGGCCAAGATAAGGAGTTTGGATTTTATTTTCATTGCAACAGGATGCCACGGAAGAATTTTAAGCAGGAAGTGACTTGATAAGGAATGATAAGTCCATCCATCTTCTTGGGACCACTGCAACAACTTAGTACACGCTTAGCAATATGTCAGTGAATCTCAATCAAATCCTACATTTTGTTGGCTTATCATCACATTAGAAATAGTAAGGTACTGTAACAGACTGGAAGCTATAATTGTGACAAAACCACCAAAAGAGATCCCTGTTGGCCTGAGAGAAATGTTACAGTGTAATTTAAGAAGTCAGAATTTCATATCATGTTGTTTTAATTAATAAGATAAACTCGTCTTTTGGAGATTCAGCAGTGATAACAGCTCAAGCAGGAGCACCAAGTGAATCCTAAAATGACAGCTTTACAGAAAAAGAAGCACTGCTCACAGTGACTCAGCCAGAAAATAAGAGAATTGGAAATGTAAAGCAAACTTTAACAAGTGTCATTCTGCTATTTTATAGCTCTTGCCAATATAGCTCTTAAAAAATGTGCATGAAACTGAGTTTCCAATTAAAAAAAATAAATCCTAAACACAGGCAAAATTAGAAGCCCCATTCCTTGCCATTATAATACATGATGAAGTGGGTGGTACAAAGATGAAAACGCAGAGCATCTTTCTAATCCTGACACACACTTTCCCCATTTTCACTGATCCTTCATCTGGGAGTGAGGACCTGCATAGGGAAGATGATTCCTGGTATGTTCCTTATAAGAATACATCTTTCCAGCGGTGACAGCAGGGACCAAACTAGCTCATAAGATTCTGCCAAGTTTCTCTCTATCTGTGATACTGGGAAAGCATGTGTGTTTCTGACAGTAATATTCAGAAAAGGGACTAAAACCACATGAAGCACAATCACCAATAGAAAAGGGCATTGAGTAATTAACATTCAGACCACTCTAAGAGCTCCTCTAATTAAAGGTGCTAAGACCACACTGATGCCGCCAATTGCAGGCCAGGCTTCATGCACCTGTGCTTCCATGAGATTGAGATGACATCCTTAAAGGGAGCAAGGCCTCCTGGGTCTCACAGGGAAGAAATATAGATTGGTCTTCCTCTCAAACCTCCCATATTTGGTTTAGATTACTCTTATACCTTTAATTTCTTTAAGACTTGTGTTGAGGCTATTTTGTAATAAAATTACTCTTAAGTTAAATCAGACATGGATGACTGTCCTATTTCCCTCAATATGCCATAAAATCCTTTAAGTCAGTCATTTTTCTTGCTGCTCACTCACCCATGGCATGCAAATTTCAAACAGTACATGAAGGAAGGAGTGAAATAAAAAATTATTGTTTCTCAGCTTCACTCCTCAAAGATACAACTGTTAAGTTTCTTGTCTCTCCCTCCATGAACGTTTGTGGGCATATACAAACTTTTGCATTATTCAACCCCATGAGCAGAACTTAAAGAAATATGGATACACAGAATTTTAAATCATATCTGGTTTAAGGCAGTATATGAATAAATAACATAAATACAAACTACTGCAAAATAAGGGGAGGCTGTGGACATTCTAAGGCAGATCTAATAACCTGTCTCCACCCACCACTCACACCCGCTCCACCTCCAGGACCTTAGTGGGTACTGCAGTTGGTGGCAGATGGAGTAACCCCGGTGAGTGAGTCCAGTTTGGTCTCTGAACCACTGAGTGTTTCCTGGCCAACTCAATCCATTGCTCCAGATCTCAATTTCCTCTCCTACAAAATGAGAAGATTTGAGACACCAGGATTGGAGTTGACCAACAGACAGCAAAAACAAACAGGCATGCTAAGGCCAAAGACTGTACTCTATGAGTGCCTGAGGCTCAGAAAGAGGAAGAGCATCACAGAGACAATCCATGTAACAGATTTCCAAGAGGAGAAGAATGTAAATAAGATTGGAGTCGTTTTTTTCTATTTCTTGAGATATGATTCGTAGGAAAATCTACATCTTGTTTTACCATATAACAGAGGTACCAAGCAATATACAATGCTCCTGAAGTTTTCTTATGATACATTAAAAACCCAGAAGTAGAAAAAACCCATGTTTATATATTCCTCAGCAATGTACATTGTATTACCACTAGCACCAGAGGGCTTGTGAGTATTTTTCCATTGTGAAGGGTCGCAGATATGTGCAATTACATGTAGTAGTGATAGGGCCACAACTTAAGCCACAGGTTAACATTTAATTCTCATTTGCCACCTCATCTGACAATTAGCTGACTGTGAGGGAGGTGGGGAGTCTTCCTGCTGGTCTTCTTGCTGGCCAGTCTACATTTGCAGAAATGAGTTAGACTAGAACAAATAAATATCAAGGGCAGTAGAGAAGTGATAAGGGAGAGGGCTAAGGAAAGAGAGGGAAATGGCTCGGAAAGTAGAACACCTTTAAACAGACTAATCATGTTAAATACCCATTTGGCAATTTGACTTCAGGCTAACAGCAGCAAACCCACTAATAATGATTAAGATTCCTGGGGTCTCCTGCAAACTTGGCAGAAGGGAGGTGGCATTCACAAGTGTCTGCCAGATCTTCTGGCCATTTCCCAGAAGGAAGATGGGAGCTGGAGAACAAAGCCTGGAGTTATAGAGCTGTGAGTTCTGCCACAACTAGAAAATTACATAGTCAATTCTGAGCCTGTATTTGTTCATTTATTTAAAAAAAGATAGACAAAGGTGGGATGCGGCGGTTCATGCCAGTAATCCCAGCAGTTTGGAAGGCTGAGGCAGTTGGATTGCCTGAGCTCAGGAGTTCGAGACCAGCCTGGGCAACACAGTGAAACCCTGTCTCTACTAAAAATACAAAAAATTGGCCAGGTGTGGTGGCATGCACCTGTAGTCCCAGCTACTCGGGAGGCTGAGGAATGAGAATTGCTTAAACCTGGGAGGCGGAGGCAGCAGTGAGCCGAGATTGTGCCACTTTACTCCAGCCTGGGCAACAGAGCGAGTCTCTGCCTCCAAAAAACAAACAAAAAACATATAGACAAAGCAATACATGCATTATGCTTATTGCTATGATTTGAAACTGGGAAATTCCACGGGCTATCTCCTGTGAAAGAGAGGATCCTTCAAAAATAATTCCAAGTAAAACTGAGAAATCACAGCCTAGAAAAGAAGCCATTGCTCACCTGAAAGGAATTCATATGGCGAAGGGATGAAGGCAGATTGGCATTACTCCTTGATAATATCAACAGCAGCTCCAAGCAGGTTGCAGAGGGCAGGGTTAGCGGGTGGACGCTGATGTCACTTTCCCACAAGCTGACAAGTCTGGAACACACCAACACATTAACTTTCAAAAATGCATTATCATAATTATTTTAAAAATCTGAAATGAAAGAAGAAAAATTCAATTGTGAGAGAAAAAGGCAAAGTACAAAAACTAGAAATAAACTATATTAAAAATTCACAGAGAACATGTCCAAGACATTTTTATGGTGTTGTTGATATAAAGCAGATGGATCAGGCAATTTTTCAGGCCATCATTTCATACTCTGAAGTATGCAGTCACAGGAAATGCTGTCTTGGTTGTGTGGGACCCGCTGGGGAAGGGGTGGCAGAGACTAACGGCTAACACACTGAATGCTCCCTACATTCTATGCCCTGATCTACATGTAATATCTTGTTTACCTCTCAGAAACCTAAGAGAAGGAACTATTGTTATCCCCATTCTACAGCTATGAAACTGGTTTTCTGAGCTGGATAGGCCCTTATGGAACATTTAGCTCAGTAATTTTCAAACTTTTAAAAAGTGACAGAATCCTTTTGTCAAAAAAAAAAAAAAAATCTTGTAACAGCCCCAACTTACAATACAAATAAAAGTGACGCTGCTCTGTCTGAAGGGGAAAGGTTGGCAGGAGGCCTCCCTTCATCTTCCAGAGTGGCCCTTGAAGCATCTCTGCTATATCCTGCGGAACCTATTTGAAAATCCTTTCATTTTAGAGATCAGGAAACCAAGGGCTAGAGAAGTAAAAGGATGTGTCTGAGATGAGGCAATGTGTAGAAAGTGATATGGCTGGGTCTAGAATCCTGGCTTCCTGGCTCCTCATCTAGTGCTTACAGTAAAGGGAAACATCAAAAAATAATTATGAGAAAATAAAGTAAAAAGAATAGCATGAGTTTTAGGTTTTCAACTTTTCTATTTACTTATTTCCTATCTGATCTGCGACCAAAGTGTCTCTTATCACCAATTTTAAAGATATATGTATATAATATTTATATTTGTTTATATAAATATATATGTATTTTTTGCCACTTCTATAAACTTCTCTCTGAAAAGCGATCTTTAACCAAATCAGGGGTGAATAATGGAAACTTGGAGAGAATCAGTGGTTCGGGGCATGATGGATTTTAAACACTTTACAGAACAAGTCATGGCAAATGCTTTAGATGTTTTATCAATCGGATTACTTATTATGCTAACAGATTTCTGATGTGGGGTAATGGAGTTCACTCTCCTTTGAAGCACTGGCCAACTAGTTGGACTGGAATAAGACACTGGTCCAATTTTAGTGTAGAGGAGAACAGATCACCTCCATTGCCCTTTTAGTTCTTAGTAGGCTCTTCAGCTGGATCTGGGAGCCAAACTGACACCAGGCAGATTAACAAGAGAAAAGTCTACAAATTTTATTAGTTTTGCATGTACATGGAGATCTTTACAAGCAAGTGAAGTCCAAAAAAGTGGCCAAAGCAAGACGCTTTTATACATTTTTAGGCACAGAGCGATAAGTATGAGGAACATAACAGGACAAGGAAAATCTGGCTAGAGGAAGTAAATTTTCTAGGGGAGTCACTGGAGATATATGGTGTGGGGGTGTGTAAAACAGATGGAAGATAAGGTAAATATGTTTATTCAGGTCCATTGCAGCTTCCAATTCCAAGTCTCTGGTGATAAGCGCTGTTTTCTCACCTTGGTATCGAGAGGGTACTCTTCCCAGAGGGATCTTGATCACTTGCTGCATGCAGGAAAGGACAAACCTTGGCCTTTAATTTTTTTTTTTTTAGAAAAATCAAAAATTTTAATCTTTATATATAACATGTCAAGACCCCTACTTGTTTGTAAAAAGTTCCCCACCCCCCTCAAAATTTGTAGAGCATAATAAGTCTTGGCCTAAACTGACCTGATTTGTAAAATATCTTCCTCTGTGCACTTTTCCCTTCAGCCTGAGGCTCTTTGCTGATCCGCTCACAACAGAAGCAGCTTGGCTTTCCTCTGGGAGTACCACCAGCCTGCAAACCTAGAGTGTACTCTCCACCCCTGGGTCACAGAACTTCATTCTCCCCTGCTCTGTAATCCAAGGACCTTACAGCCTCTGAGGCCTAACACCCAAGCTCTTCCTTGCAGAAGAGCTGAGATGCTAGGGAGACCATCTGCAGCATCATAATAAGCCCTTGGGATTTGTTGAGCTCCCACATGGCTTTCTTCAACCACCTGGCCCACTTTCTTCAACCACATTCCACTTTGGAATGCGTGTCTTTAAGGCACCAAGTGATCTTAAGAATTGGCTCTGTTTCTTTGAATCCAGTGATCCAAGTTCCTATCTCAGTGGGACCTCCAAAAAAAGGATTGACTCTGCTTCTAATGTAATGCCTGCCTTTTACACACCAGTTATGTGTTAGTGACTGCTGGATGCCAGTCCACACCCCTTCAAGCACCTCACAGTCCCAAATGGGGTGCTCCTACAGGTCCCAGGGTCCTGTTAGTGGAAGAAAGGCAGCTCCAGGAAGTCTTCATCTAGCCTTCCTGACAGGAAGTAGTTAATCCTCTGGGAAATAGGCTTGCAGTCTTGGGAAGAAAAGAGTTGTTCCTCCTTGGGGATATACATCATCATCTTGGCAATTTCATTCAGTGTCTCTTCTGTATACAGAAGCTTCTAGCTCAGGAAGGCATCCCGTCCAGATAGCCTCATGAAATTCTAATTTCTCCAAAGTTTTCACCTCTAAACAATCAATATACCAATCTGACATATTTTGAGATGGCATGTCCTTCACTCCTTCATAGGCAAAGGCACATTTAAGTGTATTTTCTGTGTTTAAAATAATCATCTTATATTGATTGACTGGCTCTGCTATTCTTTTTGCTTTTACTCATTATATAACATTTTCGACATTTCTCTTGAATGTAAATTAAAATGTTGCTGTCTTTTCCATTATTCAAACTTAGTACTAGTGCAGTGGCTCTAAGCTCACTCTCCACCCACACTCCTTCCTCATGCTCTCCATAATCCACTGTTGACTTACATATACAGTTAACTGGGCCTGGAAGGCAGTAATCCTTGCTGCTGAATTTCTGTTCATCCTGTGAGACCCACTTACGTATCATTTTCTTAGAGATATTGTCCTGCTTCCTTTATAAGAACTTGCCTAATACCATACTTACATCACTTACATACTAGTAAGGCATTTGTAAGTGATGTAAGTATGGTATTAGGCAAGTTTTTATAAAGGAAACAAATACCTTACTAGTATTCTTATTTGGGATATGTCTATGTCTCTAATTCTTTCTAGATCAGACATGAGTGATTTCCTCTAACTTTCTCGTCTTATTTGGAAATAAAGATTTAAAAGTTGCCTCGATGTTGCTTTTCTGCAGACACAGTCAGGTATTAACCTCTTACTGCCTAAAAGAAATACCTTTTTAATTTTCCCCAACATTTGTTATGTTCAATAAAACAACTCAAGTTTTCAGAATTTATACCCCTGACCCCAACTCCTGCCACCCACAATAGGGTTCACTGAAGCCTATTCTGAATTTTTTTTAAAAGTGTGGTGAAAAGGTTTTTGCATTTTCTGAATTGAATCTCTTGCCCTGGATTGTGACTGTTCCTTGGGAACTCATCAGTGAATCTCTAAGACCTATTCCAGGCCCATCATGCTTTGGACCTTCCTGAAATGAGGTAAACACTGTAGCCTGGACCATGGCCTGCCAGGGTAGAAAGCATCTCCAGACAGTCACTTTTTCATCATTTTCCATTCCTCTTTGGGCAGTAACATATTTGCAAGAGAAAGGCAAAATGGTAAATTATGTAAATAAATATTTTGAAGACACAGTTACTTAGTTAATTACGGCTATAACATGGTTGCCTTTAATTTTTACAAAATTACTTCAGTTTTGTAAGCCTAAGGCCTTAGGTTTCTTCTGACTATCACTTATCCTATGGCTAACACATCCAGACACCAGGTCAGGCACTTTAGTTATATTTGCTGTCTCTAATCCTAAAGCAGCCCTGAATGGTATGCATCATTCATCCCATTTTAAAGACAGGAAACCAAAGGTCAGAGAAGTTAAGTGATTGTCCAACATCATGCAGTTAGCAAGTAGTGGGACCAGGATTCAGTCAGGTCAGCCCGAATGCAAAGCCTGTGCTATTCGCACCACACCACAATGACTGCTGAGGACACTGTATATATTATCCTCTCCAAGCAAACCATAAGTAGGATTTTAATAACTGAATCTGCAAGTGCCTACTTCTTCTGCAAGATAACCCTTTGGCTTGCAAAATATAGTTGAGTATTTTGACCTTTTTTTAAGAAGTTATTTGGTGGATCACCTGAGGTCGGTAGTTCGAGACCAGCCTGATCAACATGGAGAAACTCCGTCTCTACTAAAAACACAAAAAATTAGCCGGGTGTGGTGGCAGTGTGCACCTGTAATCCCAGCTACTTGGGAGGCTGAGGTAGGAGAATTGCTGGAACCCAGGAGGCAGAGGTTGCGGTGAGCCAAGATTGTGCCATTGCTTTCCAGCCTAGGCAACAAGAGTGAAACTCCATCTCAAAAAAACAAACAAAAAAGATGCTAATTTATTGTGTGTGTGTGTGTGTGTGTGTGTGTATTTACTTCAAAACTTGACTAGGAAAGGTGGTAAAATAGACATTGAAACATACTCATGTTAGAGTAGTGAAAATAACCATGTGATGAGAAAAAAAGATGAAGAGGCAATACACTCACGGTTGTTTCCACTACAGGAAAATAATAATCTGGTTTTTACATTTTCTTCTTTACACTTTTATTTTCCAAGTGTTATTTTTGTAATAAGAAACAAGTTAACATTATGCTGTTGATGTGATTTCTGGTTCAGACAAAGGAAATTTTAAATGCTTCTTAAAAGTTTCAACATGCTGCTAAATGGCTAAGGTACGACCTATCAAAAATGGACACTTAAATAGAAATAAAAATACATTGGCACTGCCTTGTCACTCACGAGCGAGTGATCATGGACAGGCACTCTGGAGCCTAGTTTCCTCACGGGACCTTTGAGCAGGTACACAAC